GCACTACAGTACTTCATTATAAGGTACTCAGAAAATTGCAGCTTCTTGCGATTTGGATATTGCACCTGGCCATATTGCCATTTCAATCAATAATATTACGATTAATTGCAGCCCTAAATAGCAGGTGTTGTTACTTTTGACAGCTAGTACAAATACCTCAATCAATATGGGTGCAGCCCAGAGATCGAATACTTATTGAAGATAGAAGTAGGTTTCGGTATCGAGTTGGACATTTGGTATCCAACACCAATGACATAACACAACAATAACAGTGCAATAGAATTAAAACATCCTTATAGTGTAAAAGAAGCCAATAATAACAATGTATAAATGTATGAAAAATTACATTATAAGTTCATTACACTGATGTTATTTGCAATCAAGCAAAACATGTAGAATATACAAGATAGTGCCCTTAATATAACTCTTTATTATTACAAAGATCTGGGGGGTAAAACTTTAGAGCACATCAAACATTTCAGTGACCACAGAATGAAACAAACCGCAACATAACACCATTATCTCAATACCTTATTAACTTTATGTAATTTGCTTTATTTGTAAGCCAGAGTGAAAACCCCTGCGTAGCTGTGCAGTACCTCTTTAATCGACTTCTATTCAACCAATCAAATGTACTTTATAATAGACCTGTAGTCCATAAAAGACAAGAAAGATATCTATAATCTCTGCTTTAATGACCCCATTTTGCCTTTAGGTATTGTTGTAAATACTGCAACATGGACCTCCGCTTATTAGATTCAGATTTATTGTCCCAGAGGGAGGTTTGTTTCCACAGCCATTAGGAGTTATTTGGATGTAGACGGACTATCACTGTGTCCCAGTTCCACCTCTGCTACTACAAAATGTACACAAATGTTAGTGCTATTCTAATTTTTTCATCAATGTACTCTTACACTTTTTTGTATTAACAGTAAATTGTGCAATTTGTTCACCCATGGACAACCTTTCTTTGATCTCTACTGCCTAGTCTATCTCTAAATCTATTTCTATATCTGCCATCATCAGCATCCTCTCCATGTCCTCTGTTCAGTGCATTGTGGGATAATAATGGACTGATACATCAACAGCATACTCAAAAATTAAGCTTTTTTTTTTTTTTCAAGACCTCCTCGATTATACTGAACACACTTTTTACCCAAACCCTGCCCAGAAATAGTATGTAGTATGGAACTGAGACACAGCCTCTCATCTAGGTACACTTATCGATCAGCACTGTCTAACACTGCATAAACCTAGAAGCTGTAAAGACAGTAATTATATTATCGTATGCGTGTAAACCGTGTGATTGATTCTCGCTCTCGGCGCAGATTTCTGGTCAGGCTGTAACGTGTCAGCTGTTTAATTCGGGCTTTGATTGTTTTGCAGGATTCCTCTCGTGGTTCAGGAACGGTCTGCTGGCGACTGGGATCGGAGTCATCGCGTTTGTCCAGAGTGAAGTGGGACGAGAAGCAGGATATGGTACAGACTATATATAGTAGAGCTGCACATCAGCACATCAGCACACCAGCATGTGATTCAAGTTTAGTAACAAAGGGTTGCTGTTGTCCTAAATTCTTCAAAACTAGTGGATTTAAGAAAAATAAAATCAATGAATGTCCATGAAATAACTAGAATTTGGAGAACCTTGCCATAGATGTTATTTTCTTCATTCAGCAGCAGTTTTTAAAATGAATAATTTCACAAGGATTTCTGCAATTGACTCAAATCATCATGAGAAAATAAGGAGCTGAGATCTTTGATATCTAGTGGTAACTAATGTCATGGCTGCCTGAAAAGTCAGTTTTAAGTGTTAAACTTTTATTAAGCAAGACCTTCATTAAATAGTTATCAAGTTTGACGCACATTAAAAAACTTTATTATTTATGTCAGAATAAAAGCATCTTAACCTAAGAAATAGAAATTTCTATCGCCTCTATTACCTCTCTTGAAGATCAATCATTCATAGACACACAGGTAGAGATACCTGGACTTCTACTTTATTCTTTTTTATCTTTAACTTTAACTCAAATAGTTTAGTTTGGAGAATATGTACCCAACCTGCCTGCATCCCAGATTTAATTACAGTGAGCTATGAGGAAATGAATAGGATCTCTGCAGTAATACTATGTCAATCTGTTTTTCCTCAGCCTTCTTTATCCTGGGAGCTGCGTGCGTGTCGTTTGGCGGCGCCTCGTACCTTGGCAGCCTTTTCGCCTTGCGGAGGATGATGCTGCTGTCTGTGCCGGCACTGCTGCTCCAGAGCACCATGGTGGGCAGCGTCGCCCTCTTCTGGCTCGGCGCGGTATCTCTCTACATCGGCCGCCTGGAGGTGGAGATCATCCACGAGGAGGAGGAGGGAGAGGACGAGGATGAGTGCCAGGAGTGCCGCGAGAGGCGCGAACACAGGGGTTACCGTGGCTCCCATGACAGCAGACATCAGGACAGTGAGGACAATGACGGCAAGGGGTCCAACAAGTAGACACCTTGCATGGAGAGTGGAAAAAGGGTGTGTGTGCGTGCGTGTTGCTTTGATTCAGGGTTCCTCCTTATTTGTTTGTGTGTGTGTGTG